TTTATCATGCATACATCATAGCAGTGTCTGGCATGCTATACTCTATATAAAACTATTTTAAACAGTATTTCTTCTAACTATATTTGCAGGACCTCACATTCTATACGTTGACAAGAATTATTTGCACTTGTCAAAAGTGTCACACCACATTACTATTTGCAGGTGATTAAAATGGTTAAAGTGTATATATTATGCATAGTGTAAGAGTGAGCCATAACTTGCTTTGCCAATAAAAGTAAATTCTTATTCTTACTTGCCAACTAACGTTACCCATCTACAGAAATGCAGATCGCATTTTTGAATCATAAAATACTCACGCAGACATACTCTATATAAATGATTACCGGTGTATGTCCGACGTAACATTGCACATTAACTTATTTGTTTTGGTTTTGTAACAGTTAAGTTACGTTAACAGGTCGCGCGCTCATGCAGTTCACTCAAGCATCCCGCGCTCTTTTAACAGCCAGCTTTGTTTTGCTACCGCGAATATTTTACTGTAGGTAAACCAAAAAAATTACTAACATATTAGTACTTGTAAAGAAGAGACATTAACTCACATTAGCCGGACTGTCCTCGGCGCTTGTTAAACTGTCATCATGGGCCTTTTTAAGCCGCGCGGACTTTCTCTGAGGCGGGTTTAGAGAGAGAAACTCCGAGCTGGAGTCCATATCACCGTTACTGCGTAACATCACCATCTTTTACGAGCCTTTTAAGACCCTCAGACCATTCGCTGTCAAACTCACTTCTAAAAAGTTTTTGTCAAGCTTTTAATACGCCGAGTACTTTGAGCGATAACGCATCGTTTTGAAAATGAACTCCACTCCTCCTTGATTTCTGGCGCCACAAACGTCACTTTCAGTCAAATGACACAACGCATAATACGAATGCGCTGCCGAGACAGAACCTAGAGCCGTTTAAGCGAATGGCCGCCCAAACAACTAATTTTCTTGTTCAAATTTAAATGTGTTATTCGAATGGATATGATTAAACTATAAAACGGAAATTGCTGGACCTTTCACTGATAAAAACTTTGAGGCTTTTATCTATACAAGTATCCGCTTTTGCGTAGGAATACTGTTGGAAAGGAGTACCGGCTCATTTTTTGGCGCGCCAAAAGTGACGCGGCGCTCAAGATTCTGATTGGCTGACGCAGGCCGAACCCCCTCATGAGCTTGTTTTTGGACCTCCAAACGCAGAAGCGAGATATATAATAACTCATTTCAGATGGAAGTTAATGTTATAAAACCAAATGTTAAGTATCCTCCTCAGTCCTCTTTTATGCAGTTTGCTCATATCTAAAACACTGCACAACAGAACAAATGGAAACACTCAAAATAATTTTAAAAGACTTGTTTATTTTTTCCTCCAGTAAGAAAGAAAAGCAAAATATAAACAATACAACTTTCACTTATTTCCATCCCTTTACATTGCTCAAACTCATGAATAAGTACTAATGAAGTTAGAAGACAATCAGTGCTCAATCTACAACTTGAAAAGATGATTTAAGCAATGGCGGCTAGATAGTCTTTCACCTCCGCTGGAGTCAGTCGCCTAAATCCTGCTTCATTGCAGATTCCCACCTCAATGTTGTCCTCAGTCATTTGACCTTCAAAGCTTTCCTGTAACAAAAGTAGTCATAGTTAACATTGATGTTTGACATTAATGCAAACAGGGTCTGAAATAAATATTCAGCAAGTCATTTTGAGGCTTTAGCAAATAAATAAAACGTCAAGCTTTGTGAGAGTTACAGTGAGATATTGACTCTAGCTCGTTTGTCACCAATGCACAATGAAAAACAGCTAGATAAATAGATGTAATTCCTATAGGGAAACAATATTTTACAATGCAACAGACAGTTTCACAGCTACCAAATATTTTAGTTTAGACAAAAGTTAATCTTGGATCTTGTATGCAAATAATAATGGTATCTAATACATTACTGCAATTAATAGACCTTTAGCAAACGTGGCTGGGTTGTATATTTATAATAAAATTGTATAATTATTACCTTAAGAGTCAGAATAGCAGTGTGAATCGCATCTTCCAGTTCCAGATCCTCGTTGTATCTAAAACAGGAAAATGAAACCAATGAGATGCTGTACGTTTAGGAAGACTAAAAGGGTCTTATGCTTTCAGTTATTACGTTTTATACCTTTTCTCAAGGAATGTTTTCCCATTCACATAGTTCTTCCCCATCGCTGTGGCTTTCCATGCAAAGTATGCTCCCTTAAACAGATCAAAGTCCATCTTATTTTTCTAATACAGTGCATAATAAAGAGCTTAAATTTTAAGAGACAATTATTTTCAGTTCAAATTTAAAGATTATACTAATACAATAAATGAAATGATATAATACCAAAGTGAATAGCAAGCATACCGAGGGGTCTGACTGGAAAAGGTATGGACGGTCTTCATCCCAGCCAGCAATCAGGAGTGACACACCGAATGGCCGAACACCTCTGTTTAAACAATAACATGACAAAATCTGCATGTATGCCACTGTCAATTTGGTACATGCATATTGTTATAAATTTTGCAAAAGAGCTGTTTGTAGGGCAACTTCCAGAACAATTGTAACAGTGGTAAATTGTGCAACGGAGACATTTCACACATACCCTGATTGTGTGTACTCCTGCATAACAGAAGCCACTCTCTGAACAAGCTGGCCTGTAGGAATCGGCTCCTGATAGACCAGGAAGTACTGCTGAGCCAGCTTCCGTGCCCTTCGCACCAGAACCCTGCAAACATGATTAAAAACCCATTACAACAACTCTTATTGAGCATCTTATCTTTGCCATAATCCCACCTTTATATTATAATTACGACAATATGAAAAATCCAACATTTTTACTGAAAATTGACTCAGATGCAGATCAGTGTGTTTCTTCATTGGAATGGATTTGGAAAAATTTAGCATTGCATCACTTGCTCACCAATGGATCCTCTGCAGTGAATGGGTCACAATAAAAACATCACAATAATCCACATGACTCCAGTCCAACAGTTAATGTCTTGTGAAGCGAAAAGTAACATGCTTATAATAAACAAATCCATCAAGACGTTTTTAACCTCAAACTGTTCTTTTCGGCCTAAATAGATAGTCCATAAACCATAATATTGCTTTCTCCAGTGAAAAAATCAAGCACGGGTTACAAATGAAAACAGTCTAAAATAGCATTTTAATGTGAGAGGACAAACAGGGGATGGACTTTTTAATTAGAGGAATTGTTATTATGGATTTTGACTTGAGTTTAAAGTTAAAACACCTTAATAATGGATGTTTCCTACATACATGCAGAAGTTCGCTTCACAAAATATTTATTGATAGCCTGGAGTGGTATGGATTACTTGTGGATTATTGTGATGTTTTTATCAGCTGTTTGGACTCTCATTCTGACGGCACCCATTCACTGCAGAGGATCCATTGGTGAGCAAGTGATGTAATGCTACATTTCTCCAAATCTGTTCAGATGAAGAAACAAGCTCATCTACATCTTGGGATGGCCTGAGGGTGAGTACATTTTCTTTTTTGGGTGAACTATTCTTTAAATTTTTTAAAAACATTAACATTTTTAACAAGACTGCCTTACACGTGCTTCATATTAAGAATCATTATTATATAGCGTTTGTTCATGTAGGCTCCAAATCCGTACCTGTAGTCTGGACCCATGCCACTGTAGACCATACCAATGTGTTTGGTTATGGGCTCTACTTTGTGAACACTTTGCTCATCATACAATATCGATTTCTGCTTCTTTTCCGTAGCCAGAACAACCCCATTTGAAGCTGTGAAAACGAAATGATGATCAAATGAAAGTTCCTTGCTATATAAACACAGTTCAAAAAGCTCATAATAAGCACATGCTAAAACCATAAAGTTTTATAAATAATGAAAAGTTAAGACACACATAACAAATACATAAAAGAACATTACTAACCTTTTATTCCAACTGAAGGAGCACCAGCTGCTACAGCTGCCAGAGCATACTCAATCTGGACCAACTTCCCTGAAGGGCTGAAAACAGAAAAAGAAGAAAAGTGTTGTGATTGTAAGGTGAAGTATATTTTGACATGTTGCCTAGAGTTAATGTTAAAACACTGTGCTGTATTGTTACTTTACCCAGTTACAGACTTCAAATATACAAATGAGGCTTATTAAATATGCACAATAAAAGTGCTACAGTCCTTATGACAAAGTTATATTTTTACATTGTCACAAAACTGTTCTGTTTAGTTATACTTTATTATAATAATAACAAAAATAAACACAGTACTGATAATTATAAACTGTATGTTCATGTGCATTCATGAGTTATATAAAAGAACAGCTTCCCATGATTCACAGAAAGTGAAAGTAAAATAAGCAAGTGGCAGTTGCAAAGACAAAACTGAGACCAGTCTGTCCTTTAAACACCCATGAGAGTGTAGAATTTGTTGCTCTGGGATTCATTATGTGTTTAGTTCATCCTGTTCATGAATGTTGATGCACATGAATAAAATAAGCACTGCATCACAAACACAGTGACTCTGCATCAGCGGCCGGATAAGGATTTAACGCCTCTGATTGACGGAACGCACACCACAAAACTCGAGCTTCGCGATTCGCTAAAACACACACTCGTTTGATCTTCATGAACACACTGGATATAACAAAATCATGATGTTTATTACCTGAAAGTGGTGAGGGAGAAACTGTACCCTCTTTCTGCCATGGCTGTGTCTGGCTGTTGGGGAAGTGACGTCACGCGCTTAATTGATCTGATTGGCTGAAAGAGTTACTGGGTTTCTTAATGAATTGTGGGTATTGCAGCCTAACGATACGTTTAAAATAACTTTGGATGTTTGGTTTTGTTTTACCTGGCACCAATTAAAATCATGTAATAATTAAAACATTTGTTGGTTTAATCATATATTTTGAACATATTTCGCCCACACCCGCTCAGAAATAAAGCTGAATTTTTATAACGCTGTACTACAAATCCCAGAATGCACGGGTGCAGAACAAGGCGCATGCGCACTAGGTCTTTTTTTTTAGCTGTGACCGTGAGGCTGTTAGGTCTGTACATGTTAAATTAATCTGAAATAAAATACCGCATATAATGTCATTATCGGGTTTACTTCAGTTTGTCGGACGCTCTCTGCAGCGTCTGGAACTCCGTTTAGCGCAAGCAGCGGGTTTTGACAGCGTCGGTGAGTGCATTTACTGTAATGTCATGTGTTACACCTCCATTCATATCACCATACATACACTTATTTCACAATTAAGCTTAATTTAATATCATTTTACATTTTTTCCCCTTCTGACTGACCATTCCTTTGTAATATTAAATATAGTGTTTGTTTTGGAAGTCATTATCTCTGGTAAGTGAAGGGCTCAAGGAGACGCAATCTTTAAGGGGAAGTACTATAGGTCGAATAGAATAAAAAGTCTCTTTAATCGGAATGAAATGTTGCAGTGTTAATTTTTCTTCTTGAGATATATTTACTTAATTTATATGGCTAATTAGGTAACATGTTATTAAGAATATATGGAACAAGCATGCAAAATGTGGACTGATAAGTATTAGCTTCTTTTATTTTAGTTTCTCATTTAAAATATATATTTCTTATATTTTTAATAATTATATATATATATATATATATATATAATATATATTTTAACATTTC